GTTGAAAAGAAATGAATTGATAGTGAGTTTCCTGTCACTGGAGGTATTCAGGTAGAGCTTAGATGAACACACACTAGGGATGCCATAAAGGAGATTCTTGTATAATGGAGGTAATTAAGATAACCCTACATCAGCTCTGGCTGGTATACGCCCCAGGAGGCATATTTGAGCTGGGCACCTCCCAATTACGCATTTGCTGTGGTCTTTTCTGGAATGCCATGAATGTTGACTAAGTGCTGAAAGAGTTGGTACTTTGGTATGATGCAGCAATCCCTCTGTGTGTGTGTGTGTGTGTCTGTGTGTGTGTAAAGTTCTCTTGATTATACCCATTACATTTGTATTGGGAGGGAGATTGGGATAGATGACTTCTGAGGACCCTCCCAAATCTAAAATCTTGGATTGTTGCTCTTTAGAATGATGACTCTGGCGTGCTGTATTATCTTTATTTATCAAAGAAAGATTCTACTCACTAGTTATTTACTGAGACATGATAAGTCATAGACTAACATATTTTTGGGAAAAAATTTTCAATTAATTAAAACCAAAGGGAAATCCTGGCTAATTCTCAGTTACCCAGAATATTCTGTTAGCCAGAATGATGTTTCCTGATCATTATGGTTCAAGAAGGATTTAGATAAATTTATGGATGATAGTTCAATAATGGCATCTTGAAGGGAAGGTAGGAGGATCACAGAGTAGTAAAATGTTAGAACTAAAAGGGAGCTCAGAGGTCACTTAGTCCACAACCCTCATTTTACAGATGAAAAAATTGAGGCACAGAGATGGGGAAGTGACTGAATGAGTCATTAATATAGTACACAAAGTGTCACCAAGCACTAATCAGATTCACATTTGCTATATTTGAAGTGTTGATGAATAACTAAGTCCTCCCTTAATAATAGTTCTGCAACCTCCCTAGTCTTGCTGTTGGTATTTTCTTTAGGCTCTCTCTATATCAATGTCAACTGATTAACCTTTTGGCCTGAAAGAAAAATGAATATCAAAGTAGCAATATTTTCAGGTGGTTTCCTCTGAAGACTACATCAATCATAGAAATGTCTTTGACTCCTGTTTGGTTACTGCACCAACAATTGAGTATAACTTTCTGAGCTGGAGGAAGATAATGGTTTCTTGGGGTAATAAAGCTGTCAGTAGGTGGGAGGCTTTCATCTAAGTCCATAAAAAATGTGAAGGGACTGGGCGGAGGCACAAGGGCATTCAGGAGATGGGAACATCTGGAGAATCTAGAGGCCTAGACACTCATTATTTATAGTGTAGAGGGGAAAAACAAACAAACAAACAAACAAAAAATCCACTGGGCCAGTAGACAGCCCCTAGGTTCTATTTCTACTCCCATCACTGACTTGATGGGTGCTCTTAGGCAAGTTTACCCTATGTCTTTGTGCCTCCCTATTTCCATCCTATAGACAGGGATGTTATTATTATTTGTATTTACCATCTTCCTACATGTACCCTGGGAGATTTTAAGGGTGAATGAGATACAACTGTAGCTGTAGCTGCTGTATAGAAATGCAAGATTATAAGATCATCATTCTATGGCTTTTTATGTTTATAAAATGCTCTCATTTATTAGGAATTCATCCAAACTTAACTGCCAAATCATTTAATGTTAAGATGATTTCCATTTTAAGGAGGGAGAAAATGAAGTTAAGAAGGTTACCATGATGTGTGGAATTAAAAGTCTCAGCCAGCTTCTTAGCTCATGCAGTCATGTCAGTGTTCTAATGCAGAGTCATGGACCCATAACCCTAGTGGCTTTTGCAAAGACTTTCAGCATTTGATTATCTGCAAGTGGATCATTCGTTTTGTAGATCATCTCTGAACTCCTCCATTCCACTATTCAGTTGTCTCAGGCTCTTTTCTATCATGAAACTCAAATATTCTTTCCTACAAGGATCCACTCCAGTCCACTCCAGCCCACAATTATTATACACTGACACCATTATCAAGTCATCCCCCCAACACCCATCATCTCCACTCTTCTAGTCTTCAATTTAAATTATCTTAGATCTTTCATTTTCATAATCTTATTCTAATTCCTAATCCTTTATTTATGTGCACAAAAATCACAAAGTGGTAGAGCTGGAAGGGTCCTTAAAGATCATCTGGTTCAACCCTCTCTCACTCTCCCAACCATACATTTTATGAATGAGGAAATTGATGTGCAAAGGGGTTATGTGCTTAGCACAGTGCTGGCACGTAGTAGGTGCTTAATAAATGCTAGTCAACTGGCTGCCTTATAAACATCTAACTGTTAGCAAGTGACAAGGCTGGGATGAGAACTGAGGCCTATGGATCTCAATGCATTATAATTTCCCTCACATCGTGTTCCCTCTCTGTGATTCTTATCTGAACTATTTCTTATGTTTAGTCAAATTTGGAGAGCCAAGAGTTAGATAAAACATCCCCAAATTTCACCCATCATTCTGTTTTTTCAATTTTAGTACACACTTATTAAGTGCTTATTGTGTTCAGAGCATCTGTGCAGGGTGCCTCAGGAGATAGGAAGCTTAGATAGGCATTCACTGGTCCTGCCAATATCTTACACTCTAGTGGGGGGAAAGATGCCAACAGAGATAACTGTATTACACAGATCTGAGAGGTAAAGAGCCAAATGCCACGGAGGGGAGGGAGAGGGTGAGTAAGACAACATCTGTTGTATTCCCTCAGAGTACTACCTCAAAAGGCACAGATGAATACTACCATGCCATACTGTGTGAGTGGGTGGTGAGGAGAGAGGTTTGAAGATAGCAACTGTTGTTGTTGTCGTTGTTTATCCTTTGTTTTTTGAAGAGGACCAATGACATCATGAGGTGATGTCTTGACTCATGTGGGAATTGGATTTAAGTGAGGCAGAGCTGCACAAAGTTGTCAGCCTGACTCTCTCCTCCAGGCATCGAAGTCTGGTGGCGAAACAAAATCTAAGACAACTGGTGATGGCCCGAGATGCAGTGGGTGACCTTGGCGTCTTTGATGTCTGACCAACCTCTAAGCTTTCCACCAGTACCTGTTTCAGCTGTCTCCACGGTCATTAGAACAAGTTGTTCTCATCCACCCATTCTGTCCAGGGAAGTCTTCACATGCTTGGGGGAGACATCCCTGTAACTCACTGATGAGTTTGAGGCTTGTCAGCTACCCTCAAGCTGGTTTAGCCAGTCTGAGGAGATGGTTTACCAGGGTGTGGCTGCTGTACATGCTACAGCTTCTTGGAGCCACAGATGAGAGTTGGGTGACAGGTGAACACCAAAGATAGATGGGCAGCCCTGAAAAGGGCTCAGTAAGCCCTCTTCTCTTACAGAGGTGCTAGTTCTCCCTGAACACCTCATATGCCCCATGCAGCAGCTATTGCATCTAGCATTGATTTGTAGTGGATGGACTATTAGGGATTAGATTTCATAGTTCTTCATAGCTCTCAAAATCTGTGATTTTTGTGTGACCTTTATGTTAACAGGACAATAAACTCCACCAATGTCTTTAGTCTTCTCTCCCACTGAAGACCTTTGCCTTCCTGGTGACAGACTCGGGGGGGGGGGTTTCTTCTAGTCAAGACTTTCTAATAACCTGGACCCATAATGTAGGTGATGTAATGGGGAGATTTGTTCACTGTCTACAGATTTCTATTTTATCTCCCACTTTTAAAACTGTATAATAGACTTTGACTGCTATTTTGTGTTTTCACATCACCTAGATTTCCACCTGTATTTCCTCCTCCTAGAAAACTATTCCTTATAATGAAAAAAAAAAGCACCAACTTTTTTAGAGGGAGAAAAAAAATTCAACAAAATCAATCAATGCACCAAAAAAAAAATCCGATATATGTAATCCTTCATATTTGTAGATCCCCACCCCTACCTCTTCAGAGGATGAGAGGAGGAGTCTTTTCACATCTCTTCTTTGGGGTCAAGCATTCATTTTAGGTTGTTTTGTGATTGTTGTTCATTACTTTTACATTGTTGTGGTCATTAGGTATATTGTTTTCCTAGTTCTGCTTCTTTCACTTTGTATCAGTTTTATAGAAGTCTTTCTTTACTTCTCTTTATTCATCATGTCCTTTGTTTCTTTCCACATGGTAATATTCCATTATATTCACACACAATTTGTTTAGCCATTCTGAAATTGATGAGTATCTACTTTTTTTTTCAGTTTGTTGCTACCACAAAAAAATTGCTGTATAAATATTTTCCTGGACACAGAAGCTTTCTTTTCAAGCAGCTTTTCTGGCAAAGATACTCTGCTCGGCAGCTGGGAACACAGACAAAGTGGGAAATAAATAATTCCTGACCTCAAGGAGCTTATATTTTATTTGAGGGATATATGTAAAATTGCATGCAAAAATTATGAAATTACAAACATACATTACAAAATGAAATATAATTTGGAGACAAAATGTAAAATGACTTTGGGGAGTGGTAGGGTGGGAATGGAGGAGGATGCTAGGAGATGTTTTCCAGAGGAAGTGATAGCAGAGTTGAGACTTGAAGGATGCAAAATATTCTAAGAGCCAAAGGGAAGGGGTGAATGTACTGCTGTGGCAAAGTGTGGAGGTGGGAGATGGAATACCAAGTTCAGGGAAAAGGAAGTAGGTCACTGCTGCAGTGTAACACTGTTGTTGATAATTGGTAAATAGTTATGACTCATGGAATCCATGGGCAACACAGTTGTGAGTCTGAAAGGCAGTGACAATAAGCATCAATTCTAATGCTTATAAGCACTAGGCAGGATTACAAGTTCTTCCTTCCCAAACATTTAAGTGGTTCATGATTCAAAGATGGTCTGATCGACCCCATCTGCAACCAGCATTGCCATTTAATGGCAGAAGAACTTTTATTGTCAAATATAAAGCCATTTGAAATTGCCTTACCTAATTGATCAACATTCAAACTTTTACATTTTACTATCAGATTCTCTGGAGGTCTGTAGATAATGTTTCATGGTCTGTTTTGTTTTTCTCTCCTAGTAGCAGCCAAGTGGCAGAATGGGCTCTGAGATGAGGCCCAAGAATCATTGAGGTTGATGGTTGCACAAAAACCCTCTTTCTTCTCCAGGGGCCAAGATCTCCTAGTTACTTTCCCAAAGTCATCTGGCCAAATTTATCTGGGGTAGGTACAATATTCATGTACTCCACCTGCATTGTTGCAATATTTTTCTTGCTTCCCCCTCAAACATGGCTAATATGGAAGTTTTTGCATGATTTCACTTATATAATTGATATCATATTGCTTGCCTTCTTAATGGGTGGAGGAAGGGCTGGAGAGAGGGAGAGAATCTGGAACTCAAAAATTTTTTTTAAAAAAGTAAAAAATAAATAAATAATAAATGAAAAATGTGTTCTGCATTCCTCCTCTTCTCACTCTGCCCCCACTCCCCACTCCTTGAAAGAGCCAACTGTTTGTTGGACGTTGGCAAGCATATCTGTTTTTTTAAAACATGTCTTCCAAGACTCAGTCACACAGTCCTTCTTCCGGACTGTTGAGCATTGCTGGAGAAGGCATGGAATGAAATTGGACTGAATTAGGGGCAGTTAGGTGGTGCAGTGGAAAGAACACCAGCCCTGAACTTGGGAGGATCTGAGTTCAAATCTGGCCTCAGACCAAATACTTACTAGCTGTTTGACCCTGGGCAAGTCACTTAACCCCAATTGCCTAATGAAAAAAAAAGAAAAGAAATTGGACTGAATTCCCTCACTACCAGCTTACTTTCTGGCACCTCCACTGGGCCTTTGCTGCACTCTACAATCTCGCTACTCTATCCTTATTGACCCTCAGCTTGTCTTTTGTAGTGATAGCTCGCTATCTTTTCTTCTCTCCCCTGGCTCCAGCTGCACCTCCATCGCCACACCAATAGCTCCCCCTGATCTCTTCTTTCCTTCGCTCCAAAATCTTCTCAGCACCATCAAGTACTCTTTATGTCCTTGTAGTCACAGAGGCATTCTCCCCATTTCTCAATGAGTCTAATTGCTCTGTGTGGCCCCTTGAAAGCATTTCTTCCTGCCTCTTCCAGAACCTGATCTGTCTCCAGCAGTCATTCCTCTCATTGCTACCAGTGACTTTGAGCAATTAATTTCACTTCTCAGGCCCATTTCCTATCTTCTCAGGCCCATTTCCTATCTGTGGAATGAAGGGGTTGGATTAGATGATGAGTGTCTTTCCAGGGTACATTTTTAACCTGTGATTTTAGGCAGCAGTTTAATACAGCAGTGAAAAGAGAACTAATTTTGAAGTTGGAGGCCCTGGGTTCAAATCCTGTGTCTGATGATTACTACTGTGAGACCTTGGGCAAGTCACTAAATCTTCTTGTTCATCAATTTGTGCATAAATTGAAGAGGAGGGGGTTGTACTAGATTGTCTTTGAGGCCTTTTCCAGATCCATAATTATGATTGTATGACTTTATACAAAGAAGTGATGATAGAGTTCCCTACTCTCCTGGAAAGTTAAAAAAAACCAAACATTTTCGCCCAGACCCCATTAACCACCTTGCTAGATGCAGACTTCCAGGAGCAGGACTTTGATGTCTGCTTTATTTGAGCTGTTGATGAGAAAGTTAAGCAGAATCCAAGCCTGATTCCCTGTGAAGAAGGCCTTGTATCTCTCCTTTCTCTAGGATAATACCAACATATCCTCAGCTATAACCACTCTTCAATTCATGGCAAGCCTTTAATGAAGCAAGAACACAGTCTACAACTGGGAATTCTTTGCCATATTTCTTATGATCTCCTGTGTTTGCAAATCTAGAAAGCATGTTTTCCTCTGAGCAACTCCTTCTACCCTTTTTAAAAAATGTGACTATTTCTGGAAAGTTACATCATCTTCTGACCCATCCCTTTTGTCAGGTATATGTTTAAATGATGACTTAATTGTCACTGAGTCATTCTCCCCCATCTAAATCACTCCCTGGCTACATTAGATGTCTTTGGAAACAGCTCTCTACTAGGCCTCTAGAGTACAGTGCTGGTGAATTCACTGAAGCATTCACTTACTAAATGGCCCTCTGGAGCCACAGCCACAGTTGCTTAAGAAATAGTGCCCCTGAGAACTGAAAGAGTTAAAGCAGCTTCCAAAGGCATCTCATTTATGAGGAGGGAGTAGCTTGGCCTGGGGATAGATTGGCTCATCAAGCAATAACAATGCACTTGGCATTAACTAGAACACAGAATAGGACCATGGTAAGCAGAAGACAAAATTTAATAAGCATAGTTTGCTTTCAGTGTTTTCAGTGACTTACCCTTTGGAGGACATAAAATAAAAATAATGAGCTGTTGGAGACCCTTAGAAGGACCTCCTCCAGTCTCCTCGTTTTACTGGCGAGAAAACTGAGGCCCAAGATTGCGAAGCAAAGTCGAGCTACAACTAGAACTCAGGTCTCCTGACCTCTGGTCCCAGGTTCTTTCTACTATACCATATTAAACTGTCAGATTTTTCATGGATGCATGCATGAATATACATACATACATACATACATACATACATACATACATACATACATACATACATACACACATACATGTACATGTGCAAGTGCAAATATAGCTACATGCACACATATCTGCATGTGCACATATATGCATACATGCATGTGTGTATAGGTGTATACACGTAAATGTATATAAACGTGTGGTTTTTTTTCCCCCTGGTCTCCTCTGCTTCTCTCCTTCTCCGCAGTCCAAGGTGGGTGGATAAAGCCTCAGATCACTGATAGAGGTGAAAGCCTATTATGCTTTCAGGCAAGATTGGTCTTGTGTAAAACTTAGTCAGATGTAAGCCAGACAGAACCCTAACTTTCTGGACTAACTTGCCAGATCATTTTTTCCCCTTGTTACTTGCAGAAGAAGCAGCAAGTCATAAGAAAATTAAATGATAACAAGGATTTAATTGAATTCACTTTTTTGGTACATTTTTTAGACTGTGTCAAAAGAAGGGTTCAAATCGGGGTTTTACAGTGCCCTGATCATTGCTCTTATATTCACTCTACCACTTGGGCCCATTTTATTTAGTTTAAAAAAAAGCTTCAAGGGGACATCCTGGCCCCAGGACAGATATAGGTCAATTTCTTACGCTTTTTATTTTTCCACCTCCAACTTTGCAAAATGATTATTGATAGGCAGAATGATGACTTGGATGCAGAGCTGCAAGTAGGGTAGGGCACCTGGGTCTTTGCCCAGATGTTCACATTGGGGTTTAAGGGATATGTTGCTTTTTCCCCTGGGTGCCCTGCTTCCTCTCCATTGGGAGTCTAGAGACTGCTATCCCCACACTTTATGCCTTGTGGTCTATGTTGGTTCATATCTTCATGAGTGTTGGATGTGGGGGAGGTAACTCAGGGAAAGGATGAGGAAATCGGGTCGCTGGTGACAGGTCAAGGGAGTAGGGATAGGGAATGAACTGACTCCTTTTTCAGAAGTCTTGCACTAGCTTATGTCCCTGTGAGCCTTGGTAGGGGGAGGAAGACAAGTTCTGAGAAGGCATGAAAGATTAGAGTTGCTCTTAGTGGAGAAAAAGGGAGAAAGGCTAGTGTCTCTCACCTAATGGTTGTGGCAAAAGTTGGATTAATTCTCTTGAGGTTGCCTGCTTTCCCTCCACCTCCAAAATCTGATTCCTCTGCTTCCTTTCTTCTGTCTCTCATCCCAATCCAGCTCAGCTTTAGTCATCCCTAAATTCAATACTCTTCTGCCCTCCTTTTCTGATATGCCCTTTGAAGCCTTCCCCTGTCCAAGAAGCAAAGTGCTTTCCAAAGCTAGGAATCACTGGAATCAAGACTTAGATCCACATCTTCTGACTCCGTGTCCACCATCCCAACTGCCTTCAAAATTATGACCTTATAGATGGAATGGTCTTTTAAAACTGAAAACAAAAATGGGATTTTTGTTAATTGTTTAAATTGTTAATTGGAAGGATGAATGCTCAAGTAATCATCTGGATAATTTGAGGTAAGCTCCTGCTATTGAGGAACCAAAAGGATTTTAGCATGAAATTAACTGAATTGATAATCTCTTCCAATTAAGTTTTTCACCTTACTTTGCTCAGGTAAGTTACTGCATATGATTAAAACCTGGCTGCTGTCAAAGAAGAGTTTTTACAGGTGCGAAGGTTGAATCTTGTCTGTTCATATCTGACCTCCACAAATGGGTACTGGGGACAGTGATATGTGTGTGTATGACCTTCCCCTGAGATTTTCTCTACCAGTTTCATATGCAGACTGAGAATGGACTGAACTATGTTTTGTCCACTGGTCTCTCAATCTTTCTGGAGGTTAAGGGTTCTTATCTTGGGGCCTATGAACTTATTAAAAAATATTTTGATACTATATTTCATTATAATTGGTTTCCTTTGTGATCCTATGTATTTTATTTTCTGCATTTAAAAACATTATCTTGAGAAGGGTTCCATAGGCTTCACTAAACTACCCAAGCAGTCCATGCTACAAAAAAGGTTAAGAAGCCCTGCTATGTATGATATTCCTGAAGTTTCACTTTCATTTCCCCATTTTTTCTGGTAAAAAACAAAAACAAACAAAAAAACCCCAAACCTACAATAATTCTGTATTACCAACAAAATGAATTGTACTAATTCACTTTAATTAATACTTTATGATTTGAAAGAGGTTTCCTTATAATAATCCCAGGAGTTAGGCGACACAAAGACTATTCCTGTTTTATAGATGCAATTGAAATTGAGTGAGATTAAATGATTTACCAACAGTAACAGAGCTAATAAGTGCTCAATCTGGACTCAAACCCAGGTCCCTTTGACTCTAATTATAGTCTTATTGCCACTACATCGTGGGAGAATTGAGTCAGAAGGGACCTCTGAGGCTACGCTACCTAATCCAACCTCCTCCCTGAAGTACAAATCTCCTTCTTCAACAACCCTAACTAGGTCACCCAGACTCTGATTGGTCATCTAGCCTCTCTGGGGTACAAACTCTTGAGGCTGACATTTAAGACCTTCTACCATCTGGCTCCAACTTCCCTTTTTAACTTTATCCCTACTCCTCCTCAGTATGAATTCTTTGCTCCAGTCAGGCTGGTCTATTCATTGTCTCAAAATTCATCTTTCACCTTCCTGCCTTTGTATTCTGAGAGTCTTCCCTGACTACCCTATT